TAGCAACGGCCCTAGCAACGGCTTCCCATCAGAAGGCCTGTGGGAATAGAACTTTTAGATACCCATATCTCCAGATTGGATTGATGGATTTTTACGATTTAAAGCTTAAAATGTAGGGAAAAGTGTAACAAATCAGATGAATTTATGAACCAGGCTCGAAAATGCAATCTGTATATTTGACAGGTTTTGAAAAGTAAACATTCCATTTTTTTACCAATTTTTACCGAAAAATCGAATTTCAAAAGCTCATAACTTCTCTTAGAAATGACATATTGGAACAAAATTGACATTTTTGTAATCCTTGGTTTCTGATTTATTAGTCCAATAAGTTTAAATCTTAAAAACATCCATATTTGATTATTTGCCACTCCCCTTTGCATTAAAGTAGAAAAAGACATGGTTCGTGTAGGGTCAAAGTTCAAGGTCAGATAACAAGGTCAAAGCTGGGCACTCAACACGGTTATCATGCATAATGATTAACTAGAGGACCCGACCTTTTCAAAAAACTAAGTCATCCTTTGTCCCTCTGTTTGGTAACAAATTGTCATTTTTGGGGACCTGGCCCATGGACTAGTAAAGCTTTGCCGCGCAGAGACAACATGTGTGTCCGATCCTGTGGACCGCAGGGACGGAAAACAGACCAGTCAGAGCTGGCACGGGGCCACGGGCACAGGAACACAACATTGTCAGGGACAGGCCTGGGAGTTGTTGGTGTCTTCGGTAATATAGCGTAGTTCGGTGTGATGTAGTCAGCTGCTGCCGCGCCGCGTACCTGCGAAGCTGGAGTGCTACGCCGAAGGGCGGTTATACCGGCTATACCGATACAGACACTACAGATAACGTCACCATGATTATATTACGTATAGGAATGATAACAACAACATTTCCCATTCGAGTCAAAAACAAACTCGCCATGCAGCGGACTAGTAGCCTGATACTTATAGGAAAGAAGCACACCAGATCTTTCATTTTGTACCGTAAACTTTTAATCATTAGGGCAGCCGCGAAGCTCAGCCGATGCGATGTCAGGCTCGGTCCAAGGAGGGAAAGAGTAGTTCGTTTCTTTGTCTTGATTACAAGAACAAATCAAATTTAACAAAAGTAGAGGCAAACACAGATTTCTTGCCAGCGACATTTTTTCATAATGTAACATCTTGAATATCTATCTATCAACTGCCTAAGATGAGTGCCAAGACTCTAAGTGGTCCAAAATCTTTTTTATGTTCCTATTCTGGCACAGGTAGCCAGCTAATAATTGTTCAGCCTTGTTTTTAAGCATTTGGAAACCGGCCGATCGCAATATACCGTAGTCTCAACAACATTTATGATTCTATTTTGGCACAAATATCCAGCTAATATGTGTTCCTCTTTGTTTTTACGTATTTGGAAACCGGCCGATCGCATATTCCTTAGTCTCAACAACATTTATGAGTCCCGTGTAAAACGTGCACAGTGAAGACACTATTAAGATACACCATGTCAAGTTGTGTTGTGATCAGTCTAATCCTTGCGCAAATAAACCTCACCGATAGATTTATTATCATTTTGTAAATCATAACCTTCCTCACGTCTAAGCAATGTTGGAGTTTGTTACTGTTTCCCCGTTTAGGAACCGTTTTGGGGGAATCCCGTGCTGGTACATTTATTTGTGTTCCCTGGTTTAGGGGAAGTCGGCGGTTTGAGTTGTTACATGGCGGAACTGTCACAGCAAACAGTGAAGGGAAGTCTTTAATCTGTCATAGCAGGGCTGGGGAGCGGTGTGGGAGGGGACATGTATGCTCTTATAGCATTTTCTTTCAAATACGAGACGGCTTTGGATATAGGGTTTTATTGTACGCAACCCAAAGTTCCTACCTTACCGAAACGTAACATAAGTAAGGTAGGAACTTTTGGTTGTGTACAAAAAAAAAAAAAAAAAA